GTCATCCATTTTTTATACAGCCCATTATATTTCCTTGATAAGGGTGGGAATGCAAAGTTATAAGCACATCATGGAGGTACAGGGCAATACAAAAACAGCAGAGAGAAAATGATATGCCTGCACACTTGATCAAATGCCACAAAATGTTTTTATTTAATTACAATGTTTACTAGGGGGCCACCATGGCTACGTGTCTATCAAGATAAAACAAAGGCAAAGTGGACCCGCCTTCCAGTCCAAATATGGTTAATGATGTCACCATTTGTTGTCAGGCAAGGCCACTTTGTTTGTAAAGCACCATTCATACATGGAGCCATTCAAAATGCGTTACAGAGTTAAAAACAGAACATTAAGATATAGGAGGTATGACATTAATCCAAGCTGACACATTCAAACACAAATGTAATACAAATTAAAAGAAAATAGTTTAAAAAAAATACAAAAAAGAATCAAATATAAGATGACTTTATTAAATTAAAAATAGTTAAGTTTCAGAAGATAGAAATAAAGTAAACAAAATGTTAGCTGTTTTAAAAGAGCAAGGAGATGTAGAAAGCCTCAGGCTCTCTGGTAGTTTGTTCCACTGGTGAGGGGAAAGAAACGAAAAGCTGCCTCACCCTGCTTGGTTCTGTTTCTGGGAACATTAAGTAGCCATACTATGCATTATGCCTGTGTTGAGTATTAATGGTTTTGCACTTCTTTTGGGGGTTTAATCACTTTCCAACGAAGAAGGTGAGTAGACTTGTTGTGTAATAAGCTACCATATATTCAGACTCTAATGTGATTGGAAACATGTCACCATTTTTAGTGATTTTTAAATGTCCTATCTGAATGTCTCTTTCTCCCTTTGTCATGATGCTTTTGATGTCTTGTGTGAAGCACTTTGAATTGCCTTGTGGCTGAAGTTTGCTTTATAAATACAATTGATTTGACTTGACAGTAACAAGCCCACTCACTGTAGAATCTTAGCAGCATTTGTCAATAATAGTTGCTGTTATCTTTGTACTAATGGAGCAACACTTGAGATGAGATGAGATGAGATTCAACTTTATTGTCATTACACATATACAAGTATAGAGTAACGAAATGAGGTTTGGCATCTCACCAGAAGTGCAAATAAGCAGAAAGTGCAAGAGTCTGTGCTATGTACAGTAATTCTGTGCTATGTACAGTAATTGCAAAATTTACAGGTGTAGACAAAAAAAGTGAATTATTAGGTAAATCTGGATGGCTGGATTAATGGGATGCAATAAATATAAATAAATGCTATAAATAAGTAATGCTACAAAATAAGTGTATAATAAGTGTACTATAATACAATAATACAGATGGATGAGAGATGTGTGTGTGTGACCAGGAGGAGTGGTGGGGGGATGATGGGTGTGAGGTGATATGGAGGGGAAAGGGGGGTCAGCAGGGTGCGGAGAGAGAGAGGGAGAGAGAGAGAGACAGAGTTCAGAGTTCGGGGGGTAGAGTTCAGTAGAGAAACAGCTCTGGGGAAAAAGCTGTTCCTCAGTCTGCTGGTTCTGGTCCGGAGGCTTCTGAAGCGCCTGCCGGAGGGCAGGAGGGTAAACAGTCTGTGGGCAGGGTGGGAGGAGTCTTTAAGGATGCCATGAGCTCGCCGCAGACAGCGTGTTCTTTGGACATCCTCAATGGCAGGAAGTGGACACCTTGTGATGCGCTGGGCGGTTTTTACCACCCGCTGTAGCGCCTTACGGTCTGCGACAGAGCAGTTTCCGTACCATTTGTAACACTTGTGAATTAGTCCAGAGAGTCGACTTCATGTGCCTGGTTACACAGTTCATACGTCTGTTTCCAAAAACATCTGACTTGTCTTTTTAAAGACATAAAAAGGAGAACATAGTCCTTCACTCAATGTCAAGGGTGACCTTGGAAATAGTCTTCCTCATTTTACACTCCACAGTGTTTTCCTGCATTTAACCAATATCTTCAAACGCTATTTGACAATTATATTAAACTACAAAAGGACATCAGAACACTTCAGAAACCAAAGTCTCATCCTACAGGTTCTGTGTTTTTAGGAACAATCTATTAAGAGATTTTTGATCAAACTTAATCTGGTGCGCTCTATGTATATATTCTTTTTCTTCATTGATTTGGTCCAGACATGTTTGATATGTAGCGTATTGGTTTTTGCAGATACATACCTGCTCCACTGCTGACCATAGGTTTTCTTTTACCTCTGCAATGCTCAGCTCTGAGTTCAAGTTTCAGCTCAGAAGAACAAAGGAGACTTGGAGGAGGAGAATGTCAGTTCCTGGGGAAAATATACCTTCTTCATAAAATAAAAAAGAAGAAAAAGGAAAGAGATTGAAATCCTATTCTTTCAAGAACACATTTTATAAATATATATGCTTGAGGATTTCTTCTTCTCCAGGCGGCAGCAGGCACTCTCTTATCACCTCCTCGACACTTTCTTGGCAGCTCTCCTCCTCCTTCACGTTGTCTCTCCTCCTTCTTTATTTACCTTCTTCTGTTTGCTGAAAACCACAATCACTTCTCCGGAGATTCATGTGCGCTCACTGCCTCTAATGTACAAAACAACTGGAACCAGACATTAATTATTTGCCAGGGGACTGAGTAATGACACTGAACACACGCACACACACGCGCACGCACACACACACACGTAGATAAATGAAGGGCTGCTGGGTTGCTCACGTGTAAGCAGAAGTTTGTTGGGTCCAACAGTAAAGTCTGATGTGTTTGTCAAGAAAAGGAAGATGGTGAATCTTTAGGGAGGTAAAAAAAACCCTCAAAGAGTTTTTGTTTGACTGACTGAGACTTTTTTGCATTACCTAAGAATTTCTACAAAGCCATCCTCCTCTCAGTTATTCTGTGATAAAGTTTTATGATGTATTGACCCGCAGCCATATTTCATCATTAGGATTCTGGCCGTATCATCGCTAAACAAATGAGTCTGGAATATGCTCATTTAGGTCCTGACACGTCAGGAACAATTTATGAACCACAAACCATAAAGTGCTCGTTGTTGTGGCTACGATATGAATACACAATATGATGGTCGATTGATGTGCATGCTGCCACACTCAATACTGTCAACACATGCAAGGTCCAGGTTTTAATTTCTCACAGGGATCAAGGACTCACGTTGTCGGAACATCAATGATCACAAACACAAACAGAGCCTCATCGATTCGGATTGATCCATCGCACAACTCAGACACACAAGTACCCACATATACACAAGGCCAAGAGAGCTGCTGCCACGAGAGCCGATGACCACTTACTTATAAAGTGACTCACCGTGTTACCTAAACCACTGCTCAGTGAAACACATAGTTCTGTATACACAGGGAGGATAGCTATATACGATGATTTCATCACTGTTTAATGAGTTTATTATCATTATAGTTGTAATAATTGTTAATGGTTTAGTCTATTATAGCCTATGGGATATCCTGAAACTGCAAACTGAAACAATAACCAATTTATATTGAAATATAACATGGAAAATCAGTATATGTTTATTTGATCGGCTAAAAGTACTTTTTAACCACATTATCAAAACGGCTCAGAGAAAAGCAGTGTTTTTCACTAAGTCCAACTTTTAGATCAAATAAAAGAAAATCGAACTTTATTCATGTAGCACCTTTCAGACAAATTGAATTGCAATTCAAAGTGCTTAATAAGAATGCAGAAAAGTTATTTGACCAAAAAGTTGTGAAATCATTGAGAGACTACTGCACACCAATAGGAATTCAAAAACAACTATCTGACATAACAAGTGTATATATTTTAAAGCCTTTAAAGCCTTAAACTATATATATATCATATTCCTATTTGTCTTGGAAAATAATTCAACATTAAGCGGGTGGATTGTAACAGAAATTAAACAAGGGTTAATTTTTTCCATAAAAATATATCCTACTGACCTTCACAGAGTTTCACTATACCATTTAGCAGCACCAGCAGTTTAATACTTTAGTTCATTGCAAATCTCTTTAAAAAACCTTTAGATGGATTGGTATGGGTGTTTGTAAAGATCTTCAAGTCTCCAATGAACTGATATATTCCCATCACCCTTAGCTGTAGTTTTCAAATGGTGCTAATTGCTAAATGTCAGGATGCTGACGGGCTTAATTTAGACAGGGACGATGGTAAATATGGATTCTGCTTCAAATCAGTAGGTTTACATTGAATTAGCATTTAGCTCAAACACAGGCTAACTGAGAGACCTGCCCCAATAGTGTTGCAGTGTACTTACAAGATTGCTGTACTGCAATGCGTTACTGTAACGTGTTACTCAGCTTTACTGTAATGCCACTACTATTTGCGGTAACTAGTAATAAATAAGTTACTTTCCAGATTGAGTAACGCTGTTACAGTTACTGACATTTAAAAGCCCTCGTTACTTTACGTGAAACAGACGACAAGAAGCGGGCGAGGTTAAGCTAACGTCAGCACAGTAGTATCCTTGGAGAAAGAATGTTGTGCGCTGTCAACAAACAACATCATTCAGCTATCAGCTCTCTGTCTCGGAAATACCAACATTATTTTTATTTGCTTGAATTAAACGACAAGAATATAGTGAGTTGTAGTCTATGACTGTGGAGGAAGGAAAATTTCTCTTACAAGAACGAAGCGCCAAGCTTAACAAAATCACGCTTCCACTGAACTAGCTGTCAGAGAGGTGCTGCAAACACTGGAGACCATTGTGCAGCTAACGTTAGCTCGGCAGACCAAGGAGGAGACACGCCATACAAACAGCTTGATTTAAAACACTGCCTGCTCTACGATCTGTGGTCAGTCGAGTATGTTGGCGGCAATGTGCTTCATATGAACTGTTGTTATCGTTATCTTCATTAATAGCTCTTGTGCAGCTGTGGTATTAAACATGTATTCATTTAATAAAAACAAAACCCAACATGATATCCCAATTGGCAGCCATCAAAAACTTTAAATATAATTCAGACAATTTAGGGGAACGTTAACAAGATAAATGCAAGACAGGCAGGTTAAAAAATAATCAAATCTTTAATAAAAAATACATTTATAAATTCGGCAGCATGAACTTCTCTTCAACATTTCTATCAATCCAGGAGGAGAAACACAGAGAAAACCAACTGTACAGGAGGAGTTTCAAATAAAAACACAAATGAGGAAGTAATGGCAAAAATGGATTGAAGGAAAAAGATGAAAATGATTAAAAATGACATCAAATAGCCGAGTTTCTGAGGAAACAGACGTGGACGAACAATGACTAAACAGAACTGAACAGAGAGTTTCAACAACAAGAGAACAATGTTGCTGGGGGTCGATCACAACACCACAAGGTTCACTTCAGTCCTTCAAAACAACTACAGCAGCTTGGTTTAAAGACAAACCTGACACATGAACAGACTCACATCAAGCTTTTCTCATGCACTGTTTACAATCAATCAGCTCGACCTAAACTGAGAGTGGATCAGTGTTACAGGACAACTTCATGTCATTTTTAGGAAAGGAAAACAGAGTCACCAAACACTTCATACTGAAAAAAAGGTGTTTGCTGTGCATTCAATAACACAAACGACAGAGAATCAGAGCTGATTTCACACAGCAGGATGGCACCAATGGATGGACAGAGTGGGAGGTTACAGGTTCTACAGCAGCCTTATTGCACACAGGAGAAAGCTTTATTCTAAAATCAGTCCTGTACATCCTTAAAAAAACACCATTTATCATATTTATTTATTCTCCAAACCTCTTAATTTGCCCAGGCAGACAGCAGGTTTGTTGTGCTTCCACATTAGCTTTTTCAGAGGCCGTTTGAAGCTCCTGCCCAGACAGATTGTGCTCAGACATGACATTTACAGTGGGGGGGGGGGGGGGGGTTATGGACATATGGAGGGACCAGTTTGCTTGGAGCTCAGCCAGTGTCTACATGAGGATAAACATTGATGTTGTAATATTAATAGATGGGCAACATTTGGTAAAGACTGGTATTTTATCCACAGAAGAAGAACAGTAGGGATCATGTGAGCAAACCAGTCAAATGTGTTTTTTCAGGACTGATTGGGTCAAATCATGAATTCCTTTCAGAGCTTTGTTTTCCTTCCTTTAAGCAGAGTTTTCACAAACTAAGTGTATCTGGAATAAATTGGGAAAAAACTAAAGTTGGAGAGGGCACTGAGTTTTGAACATCCCATAGCTGAGGGCTGCACTGTGACAATGCCCACTCAGGAGATCTATTGTCACATCCAACAGTGAGTTCACCCAGCGCTGACAGACACGTCCTCACAGTTTCACACAAGTCTGCCCCCTGAAGCTGCTGACCAGAGTATCACACTTGTGCTGTGTGAAGTGATGATAATGGGAACAGCAAGTGTGCTTCAGGGTAAATTTTTACCGCAATGCCGTTATTGGCTTCCAAAGTAGTGTGGACTCGTTCAGAAAACTCAGAGCTGGAAGGACTTTTGAGCTGATACACGGGAGAGGTCTGTGTGGGTGCTTAGAGGTGAGAGGCGGAGGTGTGTCCATTGTATTCCTAAGCCTCACATCACCATAGTCATAGATTGGTGGTAAATGGAAAGGGAGACCCATATGATGGTCTGCCTTTGAGAACTGCATTCATAATATATAATATTAACTCAATGTCTTTGAAGAGAAGGTAAGATTAATAAATAAAAACCTTTTGTAAGTCTCCAAAAACAAGTAAATCTCAGACAAACTGCTTCTTCTGATCTTCTGTTTTCATTTATTCTCCTCCGATTTCACCTTTAACTCTCCACACAGAAATCTAACTATCAGCCCCATACCAACTTTAAAAAGTGCTCGACAAATTGTCCATAGGGTGACCCTTATTAATGTAGAAACTTTTTTTTTTTTTTTTAAACAGTATTTCTTCTGCACATATATCCTTGACTCAGCAGCATGATCATATCCCTAAAAATACAAAGACCATCTTATTTCCTGTGCAGTACGACCTGGGCTACCATTTAAATATCCACTTTTTGTTTTGTTGTGCTTTTGAAGAATCGAAAAAAACAAAAGCTTTGAAATCGCGCTGCGGAAGCCAAAACAAGGTTAAACTTTCATGGACTGTCTCCACATTATCTGTTCAGTGTTTAAGTTAAATTCCCAAACGGTCTGAGGAATTAAAAAAACAGATCTCAGTTACCGTACACTCGGCTGTGAGTGTTGAAAACAATATTAAAATACTTTTTCAAAGTACGGACATTTTTGTGGAGTGCCACTGATTTTATTGTGCTATTCCGCTGCTTTTGGACTCTTCAGATTCACTTCAGACCGACTTTTTAATATAATTAGTAAAAAAAACAAAAAGTTTAAATAACCTCTCTGCAGTCAGTCAACAGTGTCATTGCAGCAGTGAGATAACCGGTAAGAGGATCTTACCTGGTGATGAAGCACCCAGGTTTATGTTCTTTTAAATGAAATTGTTCATTAAAGTAAGGAGAGGTGCCTTCATTTAAAAGATGGTAGACGGTAGGTGGTGGTCTGAAAATTCTTCATAAGTGCAACAGTCACGTATCTCTCAGTCCAAAGGTCAAACTTTGTCAAAGAAAGTGACGGCTGACGTTAAATATAAAAGGAACCATAATGCGGTTTGGTATTTGTCCTAGTTCACAAAAAATGTGCTGGATTCTTCCAAAGTCAAATACAGCCTTCTGATTGGCTGTGTGTGAACAGGAGGGTCAGGTGTGTATTCACCTTGGCTGATGATGTTTTTCTGAGGATGAAGTCCCAAATCAGAGCTCAGCAGCTCGGGATCTCTGTCACCGTCTGCAAATAGAAAGAGGCTTTAGATTAGATGGAAAAGTAGGGATGAGATGCTAAAACCCTCCGAAATGATCTTGAGTTATATTTACATTATCCTGAAAGGAAGACCTCCACGTCTGAGGCTTTTTGACTGAGTTACACATTCAATTAATAAAGTTTTAAAAGACATATTCAAGATGCAAAATAATCAAGGCACATATTGTTAACAACGGCTGGATATCTCCTCAGCTCTGTACTGTTTTTGTGTTGTTTTCAAAATTATTATTTGAGAAGTGTTTATTTTCTTCCTGTGGAGGAGACCAACAAAGGAGCAGTAACTTTCTGAGTGGAGCAGCAGAACATGATTGTTAACCTGATTAGCAGAGCACAGCAGCATTCTCATTCTGTACACTGCTGCCCGCCTCCCTGCTGTCCACTTCTGCTGTTGACTTCCCTTAGTTGTCATACAGGTAAGCCAAACAAGGAAGTTGATTGTAATGGTTTGTTTGTCAATGACAGGTTTTCAAAAAACTGGCCTTGTGTCAGCATGAGGAGGGAGGTCATCAGTAAGTGAATTTAATTTCCGGAAACAATATCGAAGCATGTGCCAGGTGAGCACTGATGACACAATGACAGGAGCAATGCCACAGAAATATGATTAAATATATGTACCCATTTTGTAGATGTAAATGAGGTTTTAAAGGTTGTTCAAGCAGAGTGACATGACAATGCTGAAGTATTTCATAAAGTTTAATGGGTTGATAGTCCTGGCTGTACAGTCCATTAAAAGTTAAAGATTGGGCTGTTGTTTAAGGAGAGTAATGACCCACTGTCGAGCAAACAGCTATAAATGACAGTGCAGTACCTCTGTCTGTTTGTGGATCCATAGTTATCTAACATCTGCGTGCTGGCCACCTCCAGGTTCCAGTCACACATCTCCAGCAGCTTTAGACACTCGGACTTGCTCCTCAGGCCCAAACCGAACAACTGCTCCACCTGCAGAGTGACAAACAACAAACAAACAAATGATGAAAACAGCTGCACAAGAGAGAGGCCAGGAAGTCAGGGTGTCATTTAAAGGCAGAATCCTGGGTTCAGGATTCAGTCTTTCAACATCAGAGCAACAAGAGCATTTCAAAATTTGACACTCAAGTGTTCCCCTGTGCCCACTAACATCTAAACACATCTTCCATCCCATCACAGGGGCCCCTACCAAAGGCCACACGCTGTCTAGATGCCTTTTCTTTTTATATTTATAGCCCGCTCAGAACAGAGCAACAGAGACCAGCTTTTCCCTTAAGGTTCAACAAAGTTGCTCCTCTCATATCCTGTTATGAACCTATAAAGTGAAGAATAACATTCAGCAATTTTGAATGACTTCCTGTTTTCAGTTATATGCTTCACTGAAAAGGTTATTATGGAAAATAAACTCACAGTGTGACCTGAAATGTGCACCGGATCTCTGAGGACCCTTCTGTGTTTACAACGGAACACTCTGGATCTCCTAGTAATCGCACCTCTGCAGTATAATGGGGCGCTTCATAGGGCTTTTATTTTGATGGAGTGCAGCTGCAAAATGTTGCCCAACATTCCCACAGAGTCAGTTTAATACTATTTCTTATTTTCTCCTGACTGAAACATGTGGTTTAATGTCAGGGATATTATTTGTGACCTTTTTATTTGTTCAGTTTGTACTTTGATACAAAAGAGCACAAAGAGTGACATAACAACACTGTGTAAAAAATTCTATTTGGAAATATAACTATTATAATAAATACATTTAAATAATAATGTAAACTATATTTATCAATATAACTGAAATGTTTCTACTTCTCCTTCAACATACAATCAGTTTGTAATAAATCAAAGTTCTTTCTATTCTTTCTTTTAATCTCATTTAGTTGATGAGATAAATATCAAAATAAAAAAGTGTTAAAGGTCACATATTAGCCTCCTTTCAACAAGTTTCAATACGACTCAGAGCTCCTCAAAACATGTCTGTGAAGTTTCTGTCTAAAAATCCACTCTGATCCTGTATTTGATCATGCCTATAAACCCCTCTATTTCAGCCCTGCTCAGAACAGACTGTTTCTGTGTCTGTACCTTTAAATGTAAATGAGCTGTGTTTGACCACGCCCCTCTCTGGAAGGGGATGTGGCTTGGGCTGTCTAGAACCATGTTCAATTCTTTACAGTGAGAAGTCAGACTCAGAGGTTAGAACAAACACCTAGCTGTGGGTGTATCACCCACCTGGGGGAGGGGTTAATGCCCTTGGTGATGTCACAAAGGGAAAATCTCTGCACAACCTGTTTGAGTACACATTTTCCCAAAGGTGAAGAAGGTGAAAGAAGGGGAGGATTTACTTTTCTCATAATTGGAGACGGAAAAGACACTTAATAGTGGTGTATATGGGACCTTTAACATATTCAGTCAAGGAAGTTTCTACATGTAAAGACATAAATCGATGATGCACATAAAGGTTTCTTTTATCATAGAGCTACTCTGTTTGCATACTCAGTTAGTGGCAGTTTGAGCTTAAATGTTTCAGCTGGTGCTACTCGAGTTAAAGCAGAAACATCGGTGTGCTTTACCCTTCATAGATTAAGAACAATAAAAGCACTGGATTGTGAAGTTTGATAGATTCATAATTCAGGTTATTTTAGTTAAGCTAGCTAAAGCCACATACTGACTATGTTTACTACAAGCCTTAATGCTCAGTTAACATTAATTGAACAGATCACAGTCCTGAACTGATCCTCATGTGCAAGAGGACAGCAACAAAGACGACCAGCATGGTGTAATTGAAAATGTCAGCCACTGAGGTAAGCATTGTTAATAGTTTCATGTTGACAATGATGTGCATTGGAAGCCCATGAATCCATTAGTGGAGCCAATGGGAGTGGTGGGAATAGGATGTAACATTGTGTATTCCAACCTGGTTGTTCACACTGATGTCGCATTGCAGAAGATCTGACCTGTATTTGATTTAGGTCCACATATGAAGGCGGCCAAGATCCGATTCTATGTTCTGCTTAAACTGTCTTTAAAAATCTAAATCTCTAAGTCTCTTATGAGCAAAAACATCGGATTTGTGTCACTTTTGCCGGCAGTATGAACATAGTGTAATTCTTTATTCATCCATTGATGTAACACACACATAAAACTTCCTTCAAAACACAAAATCAACCATCTCGTGGAAATATAATTATGTGATAGACTTGTGTATGCAAATCAGATCACAAAACATGAAAAACTGTCATTAAAGTTATTAGCTTTAGAAATTATAAGGAAAAGTAAAATTACTCATTCGAAGAAATCATTATAAAGCTTAGTATGTCTTTTTTTCACATGACTGAACGAGTGATTTTACTATATCATTATTACTGTAATTACTTGAGCACCTAAGTATGAACAATATTTGTACTGAGCTGAGCTCATCAAGCTTTCTTTAAAACCTCACCTTTAGATAATGCACAGCTTTCTGAATGTTCCAGTTGTGGTTCTGGAGGGCGGCCTGGCACTCCTCTATCGTCACACCGTGAACTGCTTCCTGCACCTGAATCACATTGACAGTGTTAGTCTCTGCACTATCCAACAACACTCACAGTCCCCTGGCTTTGATTGGAAGCTGAGGATAAGAAACCAAGCGCAGAGATTTGAGCATCTGTTTAAACAGTTCCCTGAACCTCAACAAGCATAGTATTCTTTCATGTTTAGCCAATCCCACCTTAAGCTTGAGCTCAGTCTAATCTAAAGACAGATCACAGTGACACTGTGTTCCTGCAAGTTGTTTTTTTTTAACAGCGAAGTGGCTTTTTAAATTTATTTATATGTAACTCTGCACTATTCTAACAACTACAGCTAGTGCCTGTGTAGAGTATGTCTGGACTTGCCCTGTACTCCTTACAGTTCACTTTACACGACCCTTCACTCTTACATCAGCTTGTGTGTGGCCACACATCGCAGAGTATCCATTACAAAATGCCATGTGCCTGATCGATGAGGACCCTTCGATGTTTCGCAGTGATTCTTACTCCTGTTTAATAAGGTTCAATCGGTGTCTGAATCAATTCGCCAGCAACAAGAAACTAATCAAAGTCTGCTCTTATGTCTTTCAAATTAAATTCACAGCTAAAATGAATGCGGCCTTTGTCTCCAATGAACACCGGCATATTTTTAAATCATTTATGAGAAGTTATTACATTCTTATGCTTTTTTCTTTTTTTTTAAGGATATCAGACACAAAAGGTTTGTGTGCTACAAGACTCTTTCCCTGAAAGGATGGGAACCAATGAAACTTTAGATTGAGTTTTTGGCTTCATAAATTCAGCTCCAGATTGAAAGCGTTGGTGCTGTTAAACATAAATCAAATGTTGGTACTGGTTATGATTTGAAGTTGTGCACGGGGGAGATTCGAGCTACTTCTGTAAATGCCAAGTGATACAATTTCCCGTCCTTTCCCTCTGATGGAAAGAAAGACACACATTTGTAGTCACATATACACAAACTATCCCTACAAGCTGTGACCTGACAACTCAATATAAATTGCCCTCTGTTGCCCCCTTGTGGTGAGGGTACACATGTTGGTAATGTACACTGTTAAAATACATGTACCGGTATATAAAATCAATCAAAACTCAATTACCTGTGAAAATTAACTCTTATCTGACGTGAGTTGAACAAGAAGACATCCAGTCAACTCTGTAACTACTATTATACATTTAAAGTCTTCTTTATGCTCGGTAGAACATTGCTCTGATATTTTAGCTCTTAACTGTCTGATCAAGACTTTATCTCACATTTATGGAGATACGTCTCTCATTACAGTGACAGAGATACAATTTAAAATTAATTTGGCAGACTCTTTTATCCAAAGGGACGTACATCAGAGAGTAAGAACAACACAAGCAAGGATCTAGAGAGAAGGAAACAACGTCAGTAAGTGCAAACAAACAGCTTGAAGTCTGATCGGACACATAGCTGCTGACAGGCAGAGCACAGAGGCTAAGCACTTTTTTATATAGAAAGTTAAAATATCATCATCATCAACATCGACAGCTGTCCTTGAGAGTTCTAATATGCATTAAAAAACATCTTACATATTGTCATCATCAAAATAGAAACCATCATCATGATCATCATCAGCTGATGGATGGTTTAAGGGCTGTTCATTTTTTCGTCATATTGACTAAAAAGCAATCAGAGAAGCATAAAGGAGGGCATGAGGTCCACTGTATAATACATGTAGTATATCTAACTGCAGAGCTTCACATCCATCATGAGAGAAAAAGTGAGCCGGCTTTGAGAATTTTAATTACAAAAGCAATAAATTATACGTTTCAGCACATAAAATTATTTAGTCTTAAGATTAAACATCCAGTGTTTTTTCTTTTTCAAACAAGCTGCAAACAGCAATCCGCTCTGACCTTACCATTTGGACCCTGTTTGAAGAGTTCCCTCCTCCGTCTGTCCTGGTGCAGGAAGCAAGACCCACTGGTGCTGTCAGGCCGTCTGAACAGACGCGAGGGAGACTAACTGATGTCTTCATCCCTGGCCGCGGCACACCTAGACTGCTGTTATTGTTGGAGGAGAAGTTGGCCTTCAGCTCGCCAGGCTGGGCGACCTGGGTGTGTCCCTGTAGGGTCTGGCCACTGACCACCATGGGCCTGACTGTGGCCATGTTAGCTTGCCGTACGTGTCTCTCCTCCACAGCGCTGGAGGGCAGACTCTCCGCCTCCCTGAAGAAGCGGTCGTAGCGGTCGAGGTACAGTGGCCTCTCTGGCAGAAGGTAATAGTGGGTGTTACTGACTTTACGTCCATCTCGTACAATAGGGAGGATACAGGGGCCCTTACTAGAGGCGTCCTTCCCCTGCGCCTGGATCACTTTAGGTGCAGCATATTTGGGGTCTGAGGCGAAGCTGTGTGTGGTGGGCATAAGTTTACCCGGGGAGGTGGAGAGGTAGGAGCCGTAGTTGTGTGTGGAGGAGCAGGAGGTGGTGGGGCTGACAGAGTAGATTCTCTGCTGGGGGGAGCCCACCACCAGGGTCATGGGGCTGGGAGTTCTGGAGCCCGGCTGGGACAGAGGGTCCCTGGGGGGAATCTGAGGAGGCCTGTCCGGGTCTAAGGCTGAAACATCATCAACTGGGTCGACCGTTGTCGGTGACAGAGAGAGATCCCTCGACCAGCGAGAAGAGGAGTAGTCGCCTCTTTTTACAGGGCGTGGGGGGATGGGGACACGAGGGGGGATCTGAGGTTTGTCATCATTGGGGAACAGGACACCCTGCTGGTGTCCCTCAGTCTGTGGAGTCTGGGGGCAGGAGGTGGAGGTCTGAGAGGGTGCAGCACTAGCTGTGGGTACGTTGAGTCTCCTCATGCATTCCTGCTGCAGCTCCTGGAAGATCTCCGCTGACTGGGAGAAGGAGGTGGACAGATTCTGGCTGTGCTTGCTGGGGAGGAAGAGGTTGTCCTCCAGTCCTGGTCTGTCTGAACCCCTGGAGACCAGCACCTCACCCTCCACCTTCTGAACAGCACTGATATCATCTTCCTCCAGCTCCTCTTCATGCTGCTGCTCCGAGCTGTTGATGGAGCTCACCTTTGGAGGAGAGTAAGAATTCAGTGTTTTTGGTATCAGAGGAAGAAAATGAAACTTTTGCAGAATTAAAAATGTGCTGCATCACCTCCTACCGTACCTCCATGTCGTCTTCATCCTGAGCTACATCATCATATGCTGGGGGTGGAGGTAAAGGCCGAGCATCCCAGTCCACAACAGGCGTTGGGTGTAGGGGGCGGGGCAAAGATTTCGACGGGCTCTGAGGTGGAGTCCGATCAAGGATGTTCCCTGCTTCCAAAGCGAGCCGTGCAAGGAAAGGAATCTGAACTTCAAACACAGGGGAGGGGGAGGGTGTTGGCGGGGGGAACTCCTCCCCAAAGTCAATGAGGGACACCTCACTGTGGGGGTTGTACCCTGGGCCTGAAGTCCGGCCTCCCCCCTGTTTGGAGGCAGAGATCCACGCAGCCGGTTTCAGTTTTAAGCCTTTGACAGATCCTGTTTTTCGAAGTGATAATCTCTTTAGTCCGACTGAAGTCAGATCCTCGTCATCGTTCACTGGATCATAGCAAGGCTCTAGAATCAAAACATACAATACGTCTATAAATTCACTGATATAAGGGAGAACACGACACTGATGTTCATTCAAACATCACAAACTATGAAGCACGCTCCACTCCAAAAATTGAACTCCAGAGTGGAAGTTAGTCCTAGAGCGCACAGCAAGGACACTGCACACCTGTTAGAGGGACACAACATGTGGAAAGATGGAGACAATGGCGTAAAGAAAAGAAATAAAAGTAGACAACAGAACCACTGCAAAGACAGGCAAAGGATAAACAAAACAATAATGGATGTACCTTTGAAGAGTGGTGCTAGGAGGGAACAAAGAGGGCAGGAGCAATGTGTGAGGAGCTGCTGAGGGAAGCCTGACTTACTCTTGATAAACACGGCCGGTTGAGGAGGCCGGGGAGGAGGCTCCTCTGGAAAAATGTGAGCAATTACCGCAGCCGCAAAAAGGAAAAACAGAAAAGAAAAGACAGCAGCAGAGAAAGAAAGATTAGTGGGGAAGCAGGAAGCTAATGTCACTGTTCATGAAAGCCTTGCCAGAGAGTGTTAAAAAAAAAACTGTGAATATGTACAGTGTATGTAACTTCTAAAATTAACAAAAATAAAAGAATAACTCAACAGGCCATTACAACACTCCTTGAAGAGTTTGGTTTCAGTCAAGTATACAAAACCTGGTGCAGCTATTACTTTGAGTTGATTGGTTGAATTAGAGTTCACAGTTGGTTTATCCCAGACACAAAATTATTCACACTTTTAGATGGTTTAAGTTTTTGGCTCTTTAACTCACTTCTAGCCCGCCCTGGGAGCTGTGTGGGACGAGCAGCACTGAGGTCGACACTGAGGACATCCGGAGGGTCCATGGGATTCCCGAGGTACAGACTGGAGGGGAGAGAAAGACAGACTTAATTACAGACGATGTCAAAATACTGAATTCAATTGGTCTGGTTGCTGTAATGTTGTAAAAAGGTGAGAGATTTTTAACAATGTGCTACTGCCATCTGTTGGTTAGAGCATGTTATTGCATTTGCAAAAACTACTCGGATAGACTTATACCATCAATCCTCATCATATTTCTTTGAATGTATGAATGTTAAGTAAGAGGTGAAGAGCTCTTTGGGTATTATTTGGCACTGATCCCACAAAAAAACAAATGAGTCCTTACTCATCGATCCTGTCAGGGAAGCCCCAGCAGCGGTGAGGGTTGGAGTCTCCGTGTCCCGTGTGGATGAAGCTGTTCTTGAGCGGCCGGCTGATGTCATGAGCCGACAAACCCGCGACTGATGTCACCACGTTTCTGGGGAACTGTCCCATCTTCAGGGTCCGCTTGTTCTGACCTCGCCACCAGTAGTTCTCTGCCCTGGAAGAGATGGAAATACAAATGATGAAACATGGCGGAACAAAGCAGTGCATTTAATTGAGTATAAAATCTTTGAGTATAAAATCTAGTTATTCAAACCGAAATATCTAAAAGACTGGGATCCACCTGTAGGCTGTTATGATAAGGTGGAATGATACATTCATTTTTAGCAAGTGCATTTGAATAGTAATAGTGACATAAGGAGAACGGCTTCTTCTTCAGCCCTAATACGACTATTGATACGCACCTCCCCTCTATGATGGTGATGACATCATTGACCTGAATGTGGAGTTTGTCGGCCTCATCAAAGTCCTGCAGAGCACACATGTCTGTGGGCATGGTCTGAAAAACACACACAATGTAAGCAGATTGTCCTTGTAGTTGTGGGCGTTTTTGTTTTTTGTTCATACTTTGCAATTATTCCACTAGGGGGCACTAAATGTCAATTTATGCAATTACAGACTGCAGAGAGAGCACTGGCCTTTCTGCACTAAAGGTTGCTTGTTTACCATCATGTATCTGTTGCTTTGCAGACAGGCATGGAAATGGAGAGTTTCAGGAAAATATATTATCAGTAACAGAAATGAATACTCAGCCACCCTCATATTTTAACAACCTGTGGCTACAGAGATGACAGCTCTCGTACCTCCAGCAGGAACTCGCGCAGGGCGACAAACGTAGGTCTGTCGTCTGGTTTCTGAGCCCAGCACTGCAGCATGACGTTAAAGATATCCTGTGGACAGTCCTCAGGCTTTGGGAGGCGCTCCCCTTCTTTATCTATCTTGTGCAGGATCTAAATTGACAAAAAGGTTTGAATGAAGAAAAGTTAAGAAAGGTGAATAAATATACATTTTACTTCACCTAAATAAGTGTAAATTCTAGTTCTGTGTGTGTGTGTGTGTGTGTGTGTGTGTGTGTGTGTGTGTGTGTGTGTGTGTGTGTGTATACCTGGCTCCCATTAAGGCCCAGCCAAGGCTCCTGGCCATGTGTGAACATCTCCCAGAGCGTGACTCCAAACATCCATGTATCTGAAGCATGTGAGAATGTTCTAGTCTTCAGGCTCTCCGGGGCACACCTGCAGGAGGAGAGAATACAAACCTTAGCAAGTACAATAAACAAAGAATAAACAAGTCTGTTTTCAGATGATATTTTTTTTAATGAGCTAATAAAAAATTAATGATCTAATTGTTTTTGGAAACCTTTACGTAAATGATATGTGGATACAATTATTTCTAGCCAGTTGCTTGTGCTAAACTACAAAAACCCAGCATGAAATACAATTTCTCAGTGGAATCTTTATGAAGTAAAATAAATCTGTTCAGTCCACCCACCATGCAAAGGGGACCTTTCGATGCTCCTGCATGACATAGTGCTCGTGGTTGTTAGGCAGCGCCCTCATCAGGCCAAAGTCACCGATCTTCACTCTGTGAGCTGAGGCCAGCAGGATGTTCCTACAAACAGAGGCTTAAGTATTCAATAACTTTCTTTACCTTCTTCTGAACATACATGCTTGTTACATAGTACGGAGGTTGGATTATTAAATTCTTTATGATACTATCACCTTTATTTTAAAAAAAAGAGCATGTCCCCAACATATTTATGCAATTGAGTCAGCGGTAGGCAGTTTACCTGCAACTTTTGGTAATTAAAAACATAAATCAACCAATACTCTGCCGAAGACTTCTGTTTTTGTTGCAGTGATATCATAATAGGTATCGTTATTGTTTGATTTTTACTAGTATCGTATTTCGGTTTAAAATTCTTGTATGGTGACAACTCAACAAAGTACAGCAGAGCCTCAGAATCACATTTATTACTTTTTGAAAACAGCAATGTAAAGCAGTCTTTGGGGGAAATCCAGGAGGCAGCTGTTCCCTTGCATTTATTCTTCGACCTTCAACTAAAACTAAGATCATCTATGAAGGTTTTTGAAATAAGACTTTTAGAAATGAGTTTTTGGTTTTAGAGTAGCATCCATTTAACTCCTCTTGAAAAGTGAGACTTGTAATGGTCAATCCTGAGTAACCTGACCTCAGGTCCAACTGCTGCTTTCAATTTGAGGCTTCTTATAAACCTGTGATGTATTAAAGGCCTAAGACCCAAATGTGCAGCATTTAAAACCACAGCTTGAGACATCCTTGAAGTGATGTAATAGGCGTGTGCAGTCACAGCTTTACATGGAAAAATTACAGCGCCAACATTTAAGGTAAAAGTGATGAATTTGGGTAAGACCAAGAACTTGGACCACCCAGTTCACTGAGCCAACCAGTGAGTCATGTTGAGTTGGGGCCAAACCTTCCTGTAATAGCCTGTAACATTTCTGGGTGGAGGAGAAGGAGAAGCAATATAAAATATTCACCACACCAATAAAAAGTCCAGAAGGAAAAGTAGGTTTCATAGAAGGTGTGAAGAACACACTCTTTTAAAAACATATTTTCATAGCTGCTAGAGCATAGCTCCAGCTTCAAAAGCTCTCTGTCACCCACCTAGCAGCCAGGTCCCTGTGGATGAACCTCCTCTGCTCCAGGTACGCCATCCCACAGGCCACCTGCACGGAGTACTGACACAGAGTGTGGATCAACACTGGGCCCTGAGGACGGACACAGCGCAGACGCTCAAGCAGAGAACCCAGAGGAGCCAGCTCGGTCACCTTTAGAGGGGGGAGAGAGGGAGAGAGGGGGTGAGAATAGGAATGTGGGAGGAAAACGTAAAAAAAACAAAAAAACAAGGGGCTATATGACGTAGAAGAGAAAGAGAGGTGTGACTTTGAGATGAAGAAAGGAAAACAAGCAACAGTAGAAGGAAGAATGAGGAGAACGTAATCATGGCATGGCCCCAAAAAACAAGTGGGGGTGAGGATCATGAAAAAACACAAGAACAGATAATTGAGGGTAGTTGTTTCTATTGGAAATACCTCCCATACCGCCTTTATATTGGGTACTGACAATTTAATCTATTTGTTGGCTACCTCGGTTGCTAGGGGCAGAGATCAACGGTTTGCTGCTTACTAAAGTGTAACTTTAGTCAAAGCTTTCATGATGTCAACCATCGTGTTCCAATCACGATTTAAAGGGCTAAAAGAGCAATCACATTCATACGTAGCATTGCCTACAGCTTTGTAATCATATTTAAAACATGCAGATTCTTTTATCCCACTGTTATCTGCAGATGTTCTAGTCTGGGTATCAGAATCAGTATCTGGGAGGAAAATATAATGTTGAACAAAAACATTAGTAAAAGTGGGATGAGAACAACAAGGTTAAAGTAGTGTACTGGTACACCTGCTCGTATGTATGTGTTAAAGTGTATCTGTCCTCCCTGTGTGTGTGCGATTCTGTGTGTCCACTACCATCTTCATTGGGTGTGTGAGCACCACACCATAGAGGCGAATGAGGTTCTGGTGGTCCAGGGAGTGCATAGCGTTGACCTCACAGATGAAGTCCTCCAGAGCGTCGGGCTGGCTGAGCACGTCCGTCTTCAGACACTTGACAGCGACGTTCAGCTGGAAACAAATGCAAAGACAAAAACGACAGTGAGTGATCATACTATTCAGCCTGGATTCCTGCACCTGTCTTTATTCATTCTCACATCAGCAAGAAATGCTAGAAGTATATATTTTTTTCAAAATCTATTGTAGCGTGACCATGACCCAGTTTTTTCAAGAGTGCATCTCCTTACCACCTTCCCTGCAGGTGTCAGCCACTCTCCTCTCTTCACCACACCAAACGACCCGTCCCCGAGCTTCTCAAACAGCGTCAGATCTTTCTCTGGGATGAGGCAGGTCAGAGCCTGCTGCTGCCCATCAAGAGGAGCTCCACCATCTGGCTGAGTGGTCAGTACCCCCTCACCGAGGCCCAGAGGAGGTGTGGAAGACAGTTTACGGAAGGAGGAGGCCGGCTGGCCCTGCTGGGGGAAGTCCCCTCCGTCTGGGCGCTTACCACTGAACACCTGAAAAAGGAACAGAAGAAGAGAGAGAATGGATGAAGCTGGCTAACCAGTGAGGTGAGAATAAGTCCTGAAATATCTACCTGTCGCTTTGCACTCATGAGACACTGAGCTGCAGAGTGAGGATGCGGATAAAGGGAAGACACAAGATATTGATTTCAATCGTACATCCCAGGTCTCACTCTCATCTCTGTCAGGCTTGCAGATAAATGTTTTTCCAATTCTATTCTCCTCTCCTACACACAGAATTGTCATCTTACTGAATTGATCTGACACTGTCCCAGCCGAAGCACTGGATTACTGGCATTATCAGACACTGATAATAATACATATCAATAAAGTGACAAAGAGCGTTTTAAAACCTCTTGTCTGATTGTAAAATGAACATCAACACTTTCTGCAGTCAATGCACATCTAGATATGTGCTGTACGTGTAGAAAGCAGAGATGGGTTATGGCCAAGAACCAGCAGTCAGACAAGGGGATCCCCACCACTTAACGGCGGCAAAAGTAGCAGCCCCCCTTTACATGGACACACACATAGGATTAAAGTATAACTACAGGCACAGTGTCTTAAAAGAAAAGTTAAGCTAATGTAACATCTGAACATGTTAAATGTATGCAAGCAAAACTCATAAGCTGTGCAGTTTCACACAGACAGAAAGTCACTGTCTGAAAGTCATAAACTTGAATATTTACCAAAACACACACACACAAGCACATCCGCTACCGCACACACACGCACACACACACACACACACACACACTTATCATAATAGGAGAGAGAGAGATTTCCTGCCTACTAACTTAAATACTGACAACACAGTTAGAATGACAAAGTGTTTAGGAAGTGCCCATTAAGTAGCATTATTAGATTAAGTGACCTGAATGTTTGTGTGTGTGTGTGTGTGTGTGTGTGTGTGTGTGTGTGTGTGTGTGTGTGTGTGTGTGTGTGTGTGTGTGTGTGTGTGTGTGTGTGTGTGTGTGTGTGAGAGAGACTTCCCTGCACAATGTGTGTGCTGTGCAGAGCTGTTAAGGGAAACCTTTGTTTAGAGGTCAAAAAGAAGACTGTTGGAGTGCTGGTAGCATAGTGGTTAGTGCGTGAGCCCTTTGTATGGAGGCTGAAGTCCTCCAAGCGGGCGGCCCAGGTTAGTATCCGACCTGTGGCTCCTTTTCCTCTTGTCATTCCCCACTCTCTCTCTCTCCCTGATATCCAAATTTATCCACTATCCTATCTCTACAATCAAACAATTCTGAAAATAAACCTTTAAAATACATTTAAAAAAGAAGACTATTAGCAAATATGAAAGCACAGAAACTGATGATGTGGATATATACTGATGGAAATGATGTCAGGTGGTTGCATTTAAAATATATCAGTAAAAAGGTTATATTAAGACTTATAGCATGTCCTATAAGCACATCATATATGCATGATAATCTTAAAATATAAGAGCATGTTGCCTTGATCTAATAAAGTAGATGATGCAAACATGACGTTTTTTTGGCAAATGGACAAACATCAGCAGATCAAAACTGTATCATTTGTGAAAAAGGGTTTCCTTGAATCCCTGGTGTGAAGCATTTATGTCTGGCCAGATATAAACAGTAGCGAGCGGTGTGTGGTTTCACATTCATCAGGACCAGACATGACATAATGCTGCAGACCTTTTTAAAAACACCACATCTCTGTGGTCACTCTGTGGTTTCAAATAGGAGGCTCGACATTCAGAAGATTTCGACTATGAGAGCGCACACTAACACACACACACACACACATATACATACACACACACACACACACACACACACACACACAAGGCTGAGGAAGCAGATTACTCTCACTGAGAACCGTGGCAGAGGTGGAAACAGACAGGTATAATTATAGACGACAAGCACCGTCCAATAGGCACCGCAACTTCCAATTATAACAGCCAAAGTGTACACACACACACACACACACACACACACACACACACACACACACACACACACACACAATATTGGTAACGCTGCTAAGTATTCCCTCAGACACTGTACAACTGGGCCTTCTGTATTTCTGGAGGAATTGATAGTACCTCTTTTAATAATAATCTTAATCTTTCAGCCTTCATGTAAAGACATGAATAAGTGAATCTGTCAGATGATGCACTGTCTCTTTAAGAGAGACTTTGTGCTTAGAGAGACATTTCTATGAATGCAGAATGCCCTCAGTCTGTGTGTCACTTTCTCTTGTGACTGGGCTGTGTGTGTGTGTGTGTGTGTGTGTGTGTGTGTGTGTGTGTGTGTGTGTGTGTGTGTGTGTGTGTGTGTGTGTGTGTGTGTGTGTGTGTGTGCGGACGTGCTCATTCTCATGTGAAGGGTCAAGCTGTCTTGCACTCTGGAGGATTGTTTGCCGCAGATGTGCTTTTCTTTTTTTAAAGTCACTGGAACAATAGAGAAATCACTGAGACCTCTTTTATCAAGTCAGATCTCCCCACAGACACACGACAGATTTTTAACATGTGTGATCATTCAATGACGAGAGCTTGAAGAAAAACATAGATACAGTTGTGTGACTCAACTTGGACTCGGACACTAAACTCAATGACCCATTAATATTGAACAATACAACATTTTCCACAGCTTTACCATGTGGAGCTCTGCCAAACTTTCATGAGCACTCAATAATACAACCAGACTGACCCATTTAGCCTTTGCACAGAAATAAGTTTAAGCATGAATATCAGCACGACAGTTTTGCTTCTCTCCAGCATAAATCATTTATACATGCATGTTCTGTTCTCACTGTTCACATGACAGACGTCACCGTGGTAACAGAATGTCAAACATAACATGTACCATAAGGAATAAGTTCTGTTTGTGTGTCTGAGTCAGTTACCTTGCTCATCCAGGACTTGCGCTTGCACATGGCTTTCCTTCTTTTCACGGCCTCCCACAGTCGTCTCTGTCCTTTATCCGATGAAAGAAGAAGAAAGAGGGGATATATGTTATTCCTCCTTATTGCATCAGGTAGACCCATAGGATAGTAACAGACTGTACACTTTATTGAAATTCAATTAAACTACCATAATAAAGAATAAAGACAGACATCTTTGATATGAAAGGGGATACAGGAAAAACCCAAAGTGCAGATTAGAGAGGTGAATTTAAAAAAGTAAACACTCTATATGTGGGGAGAGATTGGAGATAAAAATGTAATGGAAATAAAGAGAAAAGCTGTAGAGCCTGGGGAACAGTGACTTGAGAGAAAGAAGAAATATGTGATGAATATATGAGCAGGAGAAGTGGGTGTAATTAGTCTTAAGTGACTTGGTATCTGAGGCCCCAAGGGCTTCTGTGACTGGATTAAGAGCGTTACTGGTTTAACGCCTTTACACACACACATGCACACACACACACACACACACACACCAAAGACAATAGACTTGGCTCTTAAGTGTCCCTTCCCATTCTGCCTAATTACCACTTGTGACTTTTAAATGATATCAGGGGTGTTAGTGAATGAGCTCTACTGAGGGTGACACAAATGACACCCTGCCATTAATGCAGACAAAATTAATACTTCAAGTTCAGGCTACACAAAGTCAAGCCTTGTAGTCAAACCAAAGCAGAGAGGAAATTCACAAGTACATCATTTATTAAAATTTGAATCCCTCTGAAATGTAAATTTAACAAGCAGAAATATGACATAAGAGGCAGAGAGTATCCCTGCTTGAAGTCAATTCAGGCGGCTCTCGAGGGTAACATGATTTAACTTCCCCTTTCAGAGAAAAGACAAGAGATGAAAGGACAAATGCTGCAAGGATTTCATTTTTTTTAATAATGGGGGAAGAAGATATCAGTTAGACAAAAGCCATCTTGGCAGTTTCTAAAATTCACTCTCTCATCTGCCACACAATGATCCTTGTATATGGCTAATGTGCAATAAATGTTGTTTGTGCTCAGTTTACAAAGGATTACTAGTTTTTAATGTTTGCAGTACTGGAGTCTAAGACTAATTTTTATCGAATCATATTGTATCACATCGCATCGTACTGTGTAGTATCAAATTGTATGGTATTTTATCATAAACCTGTCTGAGTGTTAAATAGACAACGATACCACAGTTAATGATCAGTGATATCTGTCTGGTGTTAATCTCTAAACCTGAAGGAGATGTTCAGTAAAACAAGACAATTGTTGAGCTAGCTGCTTTGATGAAGAACTGCTAACTATCATGTGTTTGTCATTGGCTTCACAGAAACTTATGCAGTGCCCAAAAAATGGCCGAAGTGCTCCTATGAGAGCTAAGTGTTATCCTTGATCCCTTGAATATCAATAGAACATTTGATGGTGAAAAAGAAGACGAAGCATTGTGCAGAAAGAATAAAGAAATGGCTAAAGGCCTGCAGAAGAAAGCAAAAGGCCATTTGGATTGGGCAGGCGGGTAACTAAATACGGGATGACATCATAATATGTCTTCTCTATAATTAAATATGTTTTCTAGCCAAAATGTTCGGCTACCAATGCCTAATTTTATTATGAAGAATCTGGCTCCCGGATGAACTCAACACAAGTGTTCAAAAACACATACTGACCAAACAAACAGTGAGTTTATTTCTTAGGCACCACAAAACCTACCACACACACACACACACACACACACACACACACACACACACACACACACACACACACACACACACACACACACACACACACACACACACACACACACACACACACACACACACACACACACACACACACACACACACACACACACACACAGTTCCTCACCAGGTCGTCCCATGCCGATCTTCTCCAGGTCTTCGTTCTTGACGTAGTCGAAGTGAGACAGCCGCGTGACATTAAGGTCATCTCTGATCCGCAGGAAGTACTGCTGCAGCTGCACCTCCATCAGCAGCTCCAGCAGCCATTCTGTGCCTTCCTCACACTGCATACTACTGCCCAGTTTCTGCAAAACACACACATAGACACACAAAGAAAACAGGAAGCTTAGTTTAAAACGTTCGATCGACAGTTTTCTCAACGCAAAGTACAGCCTGATAGAAAGTCACCAAGCAACAATCAAACCATTCTCCTCTGAAAAAAAATAACAACAACAGAGGAACTGAGCTCAGACCCTTTGTGAGCTCGCCAGTGATTGTTTACTCTGGATTACATGATACAAGCGCTGACATTTACATCACTAACCAGGGGTAGTTTGATGTGCATCTAACCCTATGCACATTCACTCAAAACTAACACAATTCAAACAATGAATTACACAAATTACAGGAAGGGAAAGGGGCTACATGTTGCATGAGCTACTTGATAACACAGATCCTGGGTCACTGTGGTGTTAATACAACACTTTGCCAGCAATTCATCACTGTCAAAAAAATCAAAACGATGTCTAGATAGGTACATAAATACAAAAACGAGGTGGTATTCTGGTCAGCACTGCTGTAGAAAGCTGGCAGACATCACAGTTATACAACAGGCAGAGATACGAGAGATGAATGATGCACATCTGGGGCCCATAAGCCTCCGTGAAGATAAATGAGAGGCTCCTGACCAATCAGATCACAAAAATACACTCTCCATATGAGCCATCAATCTTCAGCGTCAAAACACAAAAGGCCATCTTAAAACATCGTCCATCACTGTCCTATTACTGTATGCTGAAAAGAACACAAATGTTAGTTGAATGTCTATTTAATTCATTGGCCAATATAATATGGATAAACCGCAAAAAGAGCTCAACCACTCTATCACTACACCATCTCTCACGCTCGTTCACAGTTATTTATCATCCACAATGGGAGCGTAAAGCTGTAAACTGAACCATTTGACGCCAAGAAATGACAAACATTCCTCATCTGCAGAGACTGACAGGAGGACTTTCGGGGTGGATGCTGGGCGTGGGGGTCACTCCACCGAGGCGTAATTACACTCTGTGAATGAGGGACTTCCTGTGCAGGCTGAGCCAAGGATACGAGGTCTGGAGGGAAAGTGTCAGAGGTCAGAGCTTCCACTCTGTCATTTAAACTCCTTAATGGGCCTGGTTAGAGGCCACTTCCTATTGCTTAATGACTCTGACCTGAGGAGTTAAAGATCGTCTTTCTGTCTCACACAAATTCACACCTACAGCAATGTTGGGCTGTGAAAATAAAGCCAGAACGTGAAATATGTATTTGCTGGCCTTCTTCTCTGAAACTATTCAGCTATGCGAGTGCTCCTGGATTTTTCCATGAATCTCTGATGCGAGGTTGATCTACTGGGAGAGTCCTATCCCCAATGGTTATGCCAGATGTCCGTATCCCGAGACAAATTCACAGCAATGCACATAAAAGTGGGTCAGCTGATCGCTCTGTAGCAACATACAGACATGCAGCTTTGGCTCCACGAGTTTGCTTTGAGTCCTTCGACAGGTCCACAGAAAATAGACTTCATGAAGATGCATACAGCATGAATGCTCTTTGATTTATCTTTAAGACTAAAGTAGGTACAGCAAGCCAGTTTTTTACCAAATAACACGGCAATAACTTCAGGTTAACTGAATGCTCGCAGTGCCTGTGGTTTAGGGGGTAACTAAAGCTGCAGCCACTTCAATCCGTCTCCATATTTTACATTTTGCTGCATCATGCCTGACCCCCACCCTAAGAAAGACGATACAGAGGTCTGTTTGGCTGGTCCACTGGCTCCCTAAGCAGAGCCAAACGCTATCTGATCATGCTATTTAAAGTATAAAGTAGTCTTTGACATCCCAAAGGACACCAACTCTGTCTCTTTGGATCCAAGAAAGAAACTTTTGTGTACAAAACGCAACATCGTCATACACATGGCGGGAGATGATATCCTCAACAACACAGCCCTGAGTCTGATCCTCACCGGCAGTCAACATGTTGGTGAAACTTTGCTGCACGGTGCCAAAGACGTAAGTCAGCTTCCTCCTGGGCCCCTTTCCATGACAGTGTTGAATCTGAGGCATGAGGGGTCAGAATCAAGGTGCTCCAGCCTGAGTATCACCTTTCTCTGTCAACTTGATCCCCTATTTAGGAAACTGATTAGAAACGTGCACATAACTTTAGTTTTACGCTGCTTGAAGACAGTGTTCGGATTTGATTGGCTGTTTAACTCTACTGGACAATGTAGTGGCAGCAAGCTTACACTTATTTGGTAATCGATCAAACTGACGCCATGAAATACAATTTTCAAAAGATAAAACTGTCTACTCTATGCTGTCACATGTAAAACAGCCTGTATGGTATCACTCCCAGGTGCTTATCTTGAGTCCTTCTTCAATGGGATGTAGGGAAGGGAGGTGAAGGTGTGAAGGTTTGTCACGTTTAAACTATTAGGTGAGACTTATGACAGGACTTGGAGGAATCCAACCGAGGCTAGAAGTCAAGTGTAAAGAGTAATTTTTCTTTCTGACCACATCTCCTGACATGTTTTACACTTGATCCAAAAAAAAGGCAGTGTCAGTTTCAAATGAAGCTTAGAAATGTTTATTTTTGGGCTGGAAAGAGCGGTAAAGAAAGTGAAAAAAAAGAGAGAGAAGCAACAACTGTGACACATGGTGAAGGGAATGAGGGATGTAGGAAACAACATGATGTCCCTGTAGAGAAATGCCTCTGGTCTGAACTCATTCCTCATGGTGGTGCAGAAACACACACACACACACACACACACACACACACACACACACACACACACACACACACACTTGTCCTGGCCAAAGCCATGTCCTGCATCAGATCTGTTCTGCTCTAACATCCTGCTGCAACAACAATGCTCCCAGAGGACGGCCTCTGTCCAGCTGGAGAGTCCACACACATACTGTGCGCACACACACACACACACACACACACACACACACACACACACACACACACACACACACACACACACACACACACACACACACACACACACACACACACACACACACACACACACACACGGCGGCCCCCTCCGTACAGTATGCATGATACAAATGCTATATTCAAACATCTGAGCACATGATCCTGACTATAGTAACAACATATTTCAGTGGACTGAGCATACAGCAGACTTACTCGATAAACGTGAAAGTGTGCCAGGAAGGGGAACGACTTTTTTAGCTTGTCAAAGCGTCGCATCCTGAATTCCTTCGTCTGGATGAGGGTAGGTGCCCAAAAAAAAGTAGCGAGTGAGCGTTTAAAACGCTGGAGGCAGCTGCTGGTCTTTTAAACTATTAGCGGACATGTCTCACAGTCCTCCCAGTTTGACGTGACAAGTCTCTGAGGGAATTCTAAGAAGCTCTCAAACTCCTCGGATCCAGACCCGCAGCTCCGAACCCAAGAGGGGGAAGAAAAGCTTCCTAAGATCCTGAACGCAAATCTACAGCATTCCATGGCGGGGCAAACGTCCTGTAAGCCCCTTGTTTGGCTTCAGCTGCTTTAAGAAATAAAACATGCAATCATGAAGCAATTTAGAAAATCAGAGGTGACTTAAAATATGTAGAAGAAACTCTTTAAAAGCTGCTGACTGCAGGAGAGAAAGCCTCCCAGGTCTGCTCGGTGCCCTGTCCAGCCATGTGTCCTCCTCAGACAGCAGTGAGCCAGGGAGCAGAAGTTGAAGAACTTCACAAATAAGTCACTCCTCCTCCTTTGCTTCCTCTCCCTCTCTCTCTCTCTCTCTCTCACTCAATTAAGACTCGCTCTCTTTCTCTCTTCCTCTCTGTCTCGCTCTGTCTTTGTGCGTGCAGCTACTGTCTGTTTGCTTTTCCATCCTTCCATCAAGCGTGGGTCTAAAAATAGGCGCAACTTCCCCCTGATTCAATGTCTCTGGTTTCACATTTGAGGGTGTAACAACAACTTGTATGTCTGAGAAAACAAACAAGTTTGTCTGTTACAATGAGTGAGAAATGTGTTCCTTTTGAGTGTATCTCTAATCAGCTATTTTTTTCCCCTTCTTCTCCCTGTTTAACTCCTTTACTCTCTCAAGGATTCACCCGATCCCTCTGGCCCCCCCCCCTCCTCTCCCCTCCCCTCCTGCAGTCAGTCAGACGGTCCGTGCAGTGCAGAGCAGTGCGTGGTGCAGAGGACAGAGGCTTCATGGTATTCAGCCCGGAGGAGCATTTGATCCAGGGCCAAAGGGTCACATTCAACTGCAGGATGGAGCGCTTGTTTCCTGTGATGCAACCGCCCAAACACACACATACAAATACACACACACCAACAAGTGACCACTTAGTCCTCCTATTCCTATGCTCAATGTGCTCTCTCATGTGCTTGTTAGTTTGAGCGTCACTGACACGACTGGTTTCATTTAAACTTTTATATTCTTGCCTTTAATGCAGGTATATGTTTGTCACGGAGCGCTTCAAAACTGACTGTATTGTTAGGTTATAAATGAGAAAAAGTACATAATGAGTCTCTTCTTTTTCCCCTTTTGAACAGCATATCTCAAGATACACAGGAGTCATAGGGGAAGAGGGAGTCGAGATAAAATGCCCCCATGGGCCAATACGTAGCTGGACTCGTACTAGAGGTTGTTGGGGTGAGGACTAACCGAAGTGTCCTAACCAAAAAAGGAGATATTTCAATCAGTACCTGTTGCTTCATAACGAGACAAAAAGACTGAAACCAGTGCACACAGCAGAGTCCCTGCCTTACAATCACTGAGCAGGAACAAACTTTAAAACTAGAGCTGAAACTGCGAGTCAAGATGAGTAAATTATTGACCAACAATTTACAAACCATCAGGTATGCTGCTTGTTTTTACCTGTGACGATCATTTTTAGGTTGTTTGAACTTGAGGACATCAACTTTTCCAGAAGAATAATAAATAATAACTAATATGAAGAAGTCAATAGTGAGAGACAGACTTTTTTTAAATCCTGTTTAGATTGAGCTACATGTTTGTCAATTTTAAACCACAACAGCATCTCTGTTTGACAGAATAAGGTTATAAATACTCCAGGAG